GTGTGCTAACTACTTAACCTGGATTTAGAATAAAGGGGTCGATCATATAGATATGATATAAAATAAGTCAAGTTAAATAAAGGGGTGAAAATATGTAACGTAAAATAGGTAAGGTAAGTTAAACATGAAAAAAAAACTGAGAAAACTTGGTCCTCTCTCCTTTTTTATTGCAACTGGAACATGCAGCAACATGAATATAACAAGTTAATAAATTCAATAAAGTAATAAATAAGTTTTCTACAATTTTATCTTGTCTAACTTACCTACTTTTACACTACGTCTTTGAATGGTCTCTTTTTTTATATAATGTGGGTATCTGTTTTAAATGTTACATCATTATATGGCTGATCCCTTTATTCTATGACATGTCCTAAATTTAGATTTACTACCTGCCCTTAGGAACTGGAGCCATTTTAACCTAGCGGCTGTAAGAAAAAATCATAATTAAAATTATTTTTAAAAATCATATATTTGCTACACTTGCCAAATCACAGTTTACAATAACATATACTTCTATAATATTGTTTCGTGCCGATCCTCCCTTGTTTATTATATGTTTTGCTTCGATATTCAACTGAAGATAATAATAACAATAATTGTAACACTTTTTGAGTCTCATTTCTCGCTGCTATTTTTAATCTGATGTAAGAATGTTCAGATCTGTTCAGAGGACGTGAGTTGGACCTGTGGTAGAGCTCTGGATTTCGAATCTGGCAAGCTGGTTACGAATCCGTACGATACCATAAAATATTCCCTGCACTTCATGTTTTAGGTATGTTATAAGAATGAAAAGCACCCCTTATCGTGGATGGTAGGTTGCTGCTGACTGGCTGCCTTCCCTCTGGTCATTAGTCCAAAATTAGGGACGGCAGCAGATAGCCACAGTAGCTTTGCCATAAGTACAAAATACAAATACAGAACTATTCAGACAAATAAGAACAGTGACATTTGAAACAGCTGTAGCAATATCCAGATTTATTCAGAAGTTTGGTCCTGTATATAAAATCACAGTTGTGTTACCTCATCCTTCTAATTTGGCTGAAGTCACCACTGTGTCTCTAGATAAGAATCTCAGACGGTATTTGCTATCTGAAAATGTCTTCACATGAACCCGAAACTTACCAGCTGGGGTTTATGTTTTTTGTATTCGTTTCTTGGTACGTTTAGGTACTATTAATATTTTCAGGATAAATTCGACACTTACATGAAAAAGGTTTAAAGTTCTCTACTTACAAAGTCATGGTTCAATTGGCACTTTACAATTTTAACTCGGATGTTTTATGCTGGAACATGTTTACTCCCATTAACGCCAACTTGTGGTGAGTATCTGTCATTGTGCTTACTGAAACCAAATAATTTCTAAAGCTGAATGATATATTTTAAAAAGAGCTGGTAGGATTTGATGTTTTAAACATTTTTTAAATGACTTCTTTCCCTTTAAGGCAGGTAAAAATAATCTGAACATTTGTGTGTAGAAATGCGACAATCGAAAGCAGTGGGGAGAGGAGAATGATAGTATACAGATGGTCACAAACCGCAATAAACAACACAAATAGAATAGTACCAGGAGATACTTAAAGAATTTACACCAGCTCACATGAAACAGCACGTGTTTTAATAGGTTCCAATCAGTTTATGCAGTGAAATCTGAGACTTTAGGCATTTTGAGAGGCGATGGTTTAGTTGGCTGTACATGACTTCTTTAAAATGTCACAGAACTGACCCCACAAGGTCTCAATTTTCACGTTTAGAAAAGTTCTGTCTTCACAGGACCATATTACTGAGGAGTAATTCAAAAATGAACCCAAAATTGCATTAAAATGTTAAATAAAAGGTATGTTATGAGTTTTATTTGAGAAATTCTCACTATTTCGCGAAATAGAAAACTTGGACGAGATAAGACTTCTTATATCGCACTATTCATGCAATAGAAACAAGCTTAAGATATTTAATCATTTCAAATCCGGGTTTTGATACCTTTGGCGCTTCACAACAAAACAGACCAATTGAACAAATAACTCTTGCGGAACGAAAAGGCATCAACATGTGAGGAAAAAAAACCAGTTAAAAAACGGATGGGTTATATTTTACTATGTTAATACACAAGCTTCACAGTTTTTATTTTTCTATCATCAATCATTAAAAAACCCCGTTTTCATTGGTTTTACATGTAGCTATAAATTTTACTAAAAATTATATATTTTTGGTTCCCTCCAGACAAACGTAAGAAGTGAAGATTTATCTTTATAGCTTTCTACTTGTACTTATTCTACACAAGCGTGTTTAGACAGGGTTTATGTCTTTGGTGTTTTTTTATGAGTAAATTAAATAACAATTTTATAGGTTCCCTTTTAAACAAGTGGTTGATTTATAATGTATCTCTAGTATTTTATGAACAAATGAAATAATAATTTAAAGGTTCGCCTACAGTGAAGCGTATTGAATTAGAATATGCTTCTTTACTTTCTTATGCGCAAACGAGACAACAGTTTTATAGGTACATATCCAAATGAGATGTTGGGTGAGGGTTTATCTTTTTATCTTATTATCCACA